AAGTGTATCCAAGGGATTCTAAATATCCTAATGCATCTATCATCCACTTAAAAAATACATGAACAAGCTGTTCTTTAAAAGAAATTTCATATCACTGTTTCATCCCTTATCTTGTATTTTCATTACACTTGTCCCTGAGTATGTTAGTATAATATTTTAAGCTGGAATGTTTTTTATTGATTAGCCTATCATATTTCTCCACAAAATTCTTTTTTTAAAATGGAGTCTCTTAAGCTTAAGAAACCCATCTTGGTTGTATAATTAATATAAAAATTCCTAACCGACCTAAATCATATAAAATATTAAAAATTTTGATATGTTAAAATTAAAAGTATAGAGTATCTTTGCCCAAGTGTAATAGTATCCAGTCAACTCTACTCCTAGTTTTAATTTTTATAGATAGAAGTATAAAAACAGTCTTCATTCATTCCACAGATATTTATTGAGGACCTCCTATATGTCAATAGTTACTCTAGGCACTTGGGATACATTAGTAAACACTACAGATGAATCCCTTCCTAGAGCCTATATTCGAGCGTGCAGGAGTGGTAGGCAATAATAAACAAGTTCCATGGGAAAAGAGAGAGCTAGGTAAGGCAGATTTGTGGCACAGAGTGAGAGTTATGAGTTGTGATTTTCAGAAGGTCATGATGGATCACATTGAAAGGTGGACTTTTTACCAAAGGAGGCAAGGAGTTAGCAGTGAAGGTTTCTGGGAGAAATGTGTACCAGAGGGCCATGGAAACATATGTGGCATCCTCCCATGTCAAAAAAGGAGGTCAGAAAGTCTGGAGCAGAGTGAGAGGAGAGAATAGGACTGGACAGGTAATGATCTGGGTAAGGTGGTGGTGCTGATCTTACAGAAACTTTTGAACTATAGTAAAGAAGTTGATTCCTACTCTGAATGAAATAAGCAGCATTTAATGCAGGGATGACTTGTATTTTCAGAGGGTCATTCAAGCTATTAGATTGAGAGGGGGCAAGCACAGAACAGGGAAAACTTTGAGAGGACTAATCCAGGTATGAGATGATAGTAGCTGAGACCAGGAGGTAGCAGGGAAGGGGTGAAGGATGCTCAGATTTGGAACAAAATGTGGAATGTAGGAGAAAGAGGGATGATTTTAGGGGTAAGATTTTAGGGGTCCTAGTTTGAGCCACTTGAAGGATGGGGTTGTCATCACTGAGATAGAAAAGCTGGTGGATTGAAAAGGTTCGAGAGAATATTGTTCAGTTTGTGATATGTTAAGTATTGGAAACACAGTACACTGCTGGATATCAGAGTCTGGGGTGTGGGTAGGTTGGAGCTGGATATAAAAATTTGGGAGTTGTAATCATAATGATGATAATGTTACCGCTGTTGACTGGTGAGTCCTTGCTTCCCCAATGTTGAAGAATAACACCAGAGAAGCACGCTGAGGCAAGGTCAGAGTAGAAATTAGAAGTTTATTAAAGGACAGCAGAAAAGACTTCTCCCGGAGGAAGAAGGGGACCCAAGAGGTGGAATCCGTGGAAGTGCGGTTGTCTCTCCATTTTATAATTTTCGGTGATGGAAGGTAGGTGGGAAGGCCCGAGGGGTGGGACACAGGTGGGACAAAGAAGTAATCTGGGCAGGAAGGACTTCATTAACACTTCTTTGGGATGGGCTGTCTTCAAATCTGCTGGGGCTGTTCATTAACATTTCTTTGGGATGGGCTATCTTTAAATCTGTTGGGGGCTGTTTCCTGGACTTCATTAACATTCCAGGAGTTGCTCAACTTTTCCAGGAATTCATTCTCAGCATGGCCTCCATTTTAGATTTCACTCGATATTAGACCCAATTTACTTAACTACACTGACTACCTAATTTTAAATCTGGCTTCAATAACATATATCTTAGATGGCACTGGAAGTCAGGTGTCTAGAGGAGATCACTAAGGAAGTAGGTATAGATTAAAAAAGACAAGACCGAGGAATGAGTCTTGGGTCACTCACTATAAGACTAAGGGGTGTGAGAGAAAAGGAAAGGGAAGGATGTATCAGGGAGGAGGAAAACCAAGATGGTGGGGGAGGGGTGAATCAAGTGATTAGTTATGTCAACTGTTAAAGACAAGTCAGTTGAGATGAGAGTTGAGACCAGGTCATTGGATTTAGCCAATATGATTTTTGTTGTTGACCTCGAAAAGAGTAATATTCATAGAATAGTAAGGAGGAAACCATGATGGAATGGGTGAAGAGATGGTGGGAGACCTACCACTTCACCTGATAACTTATGTTCCATATGTAACCTCATATGATTTTATTACATGTATGTGTGTTCTGCATGTACAAATTGTGTATGACATGTTTTTGAACTTTATATAAACTGAATCATATTGTGTGTATGTTGCTTCAGAGTAGAAGAACTAGGACAAAATATTAGAATTCCTATAGAAATTTTGTTGCAAAGGAAGCAGAGAAATGGGTAGTAGCTGACAGTGGAAATGGGACAAAGAAATTTTTTAGGACTGGAGAAATAACATTTGCAAGATTATGGGAATGACCCAGTAGATACGGAAATAGTGTGAAGGTGATGATCTGGATTAGACAAGAAGGATTGGAACACATTTTCTTAGTGGAGGGAATGACCTTAGGTAGCACCATGGAAATTCAACTATGTAATGGAGGGGGAGGCTGAGAAGAGGCTGACATCTGGGTATGGGTGGATGTGATTGTAGAATTGTGGTAGTTTTTGTATCATTGTTTCAATGCTGTCAATGAAACAGGAAGTAAGGTTATTCTTTGAGAATGAGATGGAGGAGAGGATGTGTAGGTTAGAGGAAAGAGAAAATATGAAATCTAGAAAGAATGGAGGATGGAAGTAGGATTGCTGGATGGCACTAAGGTTCAAGGTTCATGGTGATGAAATTCAAGTGAAACAAGTCAGTATGATTGTCTTTCTCTAGCCATATTCAGATCCATGGGTGCTGGTGTGGAGTAAATCTGTGGAGAGCTGGCTTGAATCAGGATGGTGGTTCTGCCAAGCAATGAAGACACAGGGAGGAAGAAGGGGGGTTGAGGGTAGGTGTAAGAGTTATTACAATGATTGGCCAGGGATTTGAGATGGATAAGAATGACAGGCAGCAGAGGTGAAAGCTAAAGGATTATTGTACTACACAGAGTGACCCAGAAATAGGAGATGGTGATCAGAGTGTGTGATGTTTGGAACTATCGTTATGAAAAAGCTGCAGAGTCTGATAGGCTCTCATGGCTATGACCTAGGGAGTGAGTGGCTGAGTTAGGCTAGAGGGCAAGATCCTTGGAGAAGTCGAGGAATTGAGAGACCAGGGCATTAGGAATATCAATTAAGTATACTTTATTTTATTTATTTATTTAGAGTGTGTGTGTGTGTGTGTGTGTATGTGGTGCTGAGGATCGAACCCGGGCCGCATGCATGCCAGGCGAGCGCGCCACTGCTTGAGCCACATCCCCAGCCCCTTAAGTATACTTTATAACTACCCTAGGATTAGGACAGAAGTGGCACCTAGTAACTGAAAGCAGCAGATGGGGAATGAGGGAGGGCACTGGTAGGGGTCCTGGATAACAAGATTGTTGAGGAGCAGAGACTTACTTGACCTCTAGGCATTGGCTAAGAGGCTTAGCCAATGGTTGAAAACATTTAAATGGCTGAAAACACAGTTGCCACTATATAAGCAGTGGAAGGGGCAGCAGCTATCTCAGGGGAAAATCCAGGTTCCCTTAAGTAAAAAGGTAAAGGGAACCTGAAAGGAAACACAGTACACTGCTGGAGAAGAGGCTGAACTTGTAGGAAATATCATTTGCATAAATAAATAGATGATGTGGTAGACAGATTTTAACATAGACCCATATGATCCCTTGTGTGGTCCTGTCCCCTTGAGTGTAAATGAGACCCGTGATTTGCTTTGGGCCTTGTGTGCTTATGTGTACATGATTATGTTACAAAAGACTGTAACCAACCCAGGCTTAGTGACACCTGTTTATAGTCCCAGTTCAGGGTTGAGGCAGAACTTCTTGAGTTAGGGCTGGCCTGGAGATACTGTGCCTTAAATTTTTTTTTTTTTAAAAACAAGTAACCAGTGTCCTGATCAGACTATCCGGTTTACTGATTCTGAAGAAGCAAACTGCTATATTGTGAGCTTCCCTACAGAGAGGACAACATAGCAAGGAAATGAAGGGGCCTCCAGGTGACAGCTGTCAAGGAACTGAGGCCCTCAAACTTGCAACCTGCAAAGAACTAAATGCTGTCAACAACTACATGAGCTTCGGAACAGATTTTTTTCCCCAGTAGAGCCTTACTTTTCAGAGGCCCTACCTAAGCCTTGCCTGGACTCCACAGAAATTATGGGACAATAAATGTGTTCTTTCAAACTCTTCTATTCATGGTAATATTGTTATATGGCAGTAGATAATACAGATGGAACAGAAGACTTTCAGTGATAGCAATGTTATCCAATTTTAAAAACTCTTCTGAAGTATAATACTAAGGAATCACATACTGATGTCTTACCAAATCATTTTTAATGATCTGTCAGATCTTCCTTCAATTTTGTTGAAAGCAAAGGATTGGAAACATTGGACTTGCAAAATAATTTAATGCCCATTCACTAAGGTGATTTACTTTCTCAGCACAGACACCAATTTTTGAAATATCCCTTTGGACTTCCCTGGAGGTTTTACAGTCTTGGGTCACTTTAGTAATTGGTGAGAATTTTGATTTTCTTTGCTAAGGTGTGAGGACAGGTTTGAAAGATGCAGTGTCCGCAGCTGCCTTCTCAAGTTGAGCAATTTTAGAAAATAGTACCTATGATAGTGGACGATCCGGAAATGAATTCCCTTAGAGGGAACACTAGTTTGAAGACTATATGGTTTTCTGGTAAAAAAGGGAAAAGAATTCAGGCTGTGATGGAGAGGACAGAATGCGGCAGTGTGTGTGAAGAGCAGGGTGTGTGTATGTAGTTGTTTCTGGGCAACACAATCTAAGAAACGACTTAGAACTGTCTAAATTAATCTTGGAGGGACCCCGACAGAATTATTTATTGCCAGGTGAAAACAAAAGAAACAAATACCCCCCCACCCCCATATAATTCGTGTTTTCTGGAACTTTTAAAACATTTATTATTACTATTTTTTTTTGCGTTGCTTAGGATGATCTCAGGCCCTTGAGCATGCTAGGCAAGCGCTCTACCACTGAGCGACACCCCCAATCCTGAAATACAAAAGAAATGCATTCATCTTATGAAATTGCCAATACAGAGAAGTGTAAGATCAAAAGTAGAGTTTATGGCCTTCCCCACCCAACAGCAACCTGATTAATAGGAAGTGTAGAGGTCTCCCTGGTCGCTCCCAACAACCATTTAAATTTCGTGACACCTGGCAAGGTTTCTGAACGTGTAATTCCTTGACACTGTCCTGGGCACCTGTCGATTTTATATACCGTTGGAATTCGTGATTTGGAGCTGGTGGAAAGGGAAAGGGATGGAAGATACAGACGGTCGCCAATTTCTTCCCAAAGTAAACCGCTACGACTACCCCGAGTTAGTGCTTGGCTGTTAACGTCTCTTAAGTCCTCGCAGGTCTTCGAAACAAAACCAAACCCCAAGAGGCCGTGCTGACCGCTCACCATAAGCAACTTACTGGACGCCGAGATCTCTCGCGCGGCTTGGTTTACTCTTTTGCAAAGAGATGCCACGCTCTGATGACCAACCCCTAGAGCCGCCTCTCAGTCCACCCAAACAGAGCAGCGCGCTCGGCCAGGGCGGGTCCTGAACGGGACTCGCAGCCGCTCGCGGACAGGCGCTGCCCCGCGGGCGCCTGCGCAGAGCAACGCTCCCCTCTCTCGGGGCGGGAGGCGGGGGCAGCCGGGAGAAAGGAGAGCTGCAGGGGAAAAGGGCCAAACCCTGAAATTACCCGGATGTGGTCTCCGCGCGCGCATGCTCAGTGTCTTCTCGACAAGTTGGCAGCAACAACACGGCCCTGATCGTCGTCGCCGCTGCGGTAACGGAGCGGCTCGGGTGACTGAGCCCGCGTTCACGCCCGCCCGCTCTCCTCAGGAGGGTCTTCCCACCCTCGGTTCGGCTTCGCTGCCTTCCAGGGGCAGGAGCGAGTGAGGGGAGTCGGGCGCCCCAAGAGAGAGAGGCCCCCCGCCGCGGGGCGGCCCGGGAGCTCGCGGCGGCCCGGCCCGCGCGGGCAGCGGCGCGGCGCCGAGGAGGGCGGCCTGCTCCGGTCGCCTCGGGGCGGGGGTCGAGGAGCGCTCCGGGCCGCCGGGGGAAGCGACGGGCGCGGCACATCCGCTGACGAGCAGCGGCGGGAGAGTGAACTCTCCTTGCCAGCGCCCGAGCCCAGGTAACCGCGCCATGTCCCCTCCCCTTCCCCCGCCGGGCCCGCGCGCCCCGCCCGCGTCTTCCCCGCCCCGGGGCGGGCTCCGGGCGGCGGCGGGGAGCGCGCGGGCCCGGTGGGTCCACCGGGAGCGCGAGCGCTGCCACCGAGGTAGATCCCGGCGCCTCTAGTCCCTCGGGTTTCGAGGTCGGTCCTGCGGCCCCGAACTCCGCTTGCAGTTTGTCGGACTATCTGTTTGCACTCGAACGGGGACTCCTGCGGCAGCCGCAGCTCCTCTTTGTTGTTCTTGAGTAGTTTCGCTGTCGCCCAGGCGCAGCACTTTAGGTCAGTTGGAGTGTTTGTTGCCCAGGTCTAAATGAAAGTAGTAAATGGTTTATCTTTTTATTTTTATTTCTCAAGCAGATTTTTGTTTTCTCTTTGTCCCTTACTTTTTCTTTCTGGTTGTGTCATTCCAGTTTACATTTCTGGCTTTGATTTGTTTACTTTTTGGGTATTGTGGGTGATGGCGGCATGCAGGAAACATTCTTAGCACCTTAACCGAACCTCCTCCTGTCTCTAGTAAAACGTGTCTTCTAATAAATGACGCAGTTTATCTTATTGTTAGGACCACATGTACAGAGCGTAAAAGTGGTGTAGGATGGAGGGCGTTGGCTGTTAGGATTTCTCAGGCTAGATTTCAAAGATAGGAGTGTGTATAGTTAAGTTGAAAGGTTCCTTTGCAGGTGTAGAGAGGCTTCAAAAGCCCTGTCGTAGATTGATTACCCATCCACCACCCCCCCCCCCCCCCGAAAATTTTTGTTTTTAAAAGACACGTTTAGTTTTAATTCATTTTGAAATCAGTTTCTTAGTGCCTTTAGTTTTTTACCATAGTTTAAGGTGGAATTGACAGGGTTTTTTTTTTTAAAAGCGATAATAACTATAACAAGATAAGAAAGGAATCATTTTAAGCATCCTGAATTCTGCATGCTTGTAGTCTTGGCTAATTTTTAACAACCTTTGGCTTTTGCCAGATTTAGCATCCTTTTGGTCTCAGTAGCAGCTTGATTATTCCTTGTTTTAAGAAGTAGGTTCAGTACTTTTTGCTGGCAGAAACGATGTAGTTTTAATTGAAAAATGCAGGAATGCGTAATTTCATAAAATAATTGGATGTTGAACACTGTTTTTGAATTATTTTTGTTGTAAATTTCACGAGTTGTCTTTGCCATACAGTACTAAGACTATAGATTATATATTTCAGTTGACATGTAGTGTATGAAGTTCTAAAGTGTACCTTTTTCCTTTTTTTCCGCCTGTAAGGACTTTATGGAAAGTTCTGATATGATTAGTACATGATACTACAAATTGTAATTAACATTTTAAAAATGTGGTTTCTACTTTTCTACTTACTGTTTCTTTCATAATGCTGTTATGATTTTGTTTCCTTGAATGTGTTTGTTACAGAACAAATGTAGTAGAGGCAGAAGATCAAGAATTTATGATTTGTTGTAGCATTAGGTGGTGATGAATTATGTAGGTTTAAGTTATTGGAATTAAAACTAAAAGCCTTTCTAGAAAAAACTGATGTAACATTTTATGAATCTATTAATAAAGTGGCCTTTTTTTTTTCTTTCAAGGTTTTTGGGTTGAGTTTGCTTTAAAGAGGCATTACATCTTTCTAAAAAATTTTGCAGTCTACTTCTCTGTTTACCTAAGTACCCTCAATGTAAATCTTGAGGTTAGAAACAACTGCAAATCTGTTTTAGAATTAATGAAAATTTGTGCTGAGAAAGTCACCTTGAAATATTTTGCAATAAATTTTATATGGACCATTGACCTTTTATGTTGCCTTTGCTGCTTAAAGCAATTCTGCTTACACTAAAATGCATCAAGTCTTTTTGGAAGTCAGTGCTTCACTGAAGCTACATTTTAGTTGAGGTGTTTCTCTGTGTAATTTCTTTTTCTGCATTTCCCTTCAGACCCCCCCTCCACCCCCCCCCCCCAAAAAAAAAAGTAAGTAGTAGACATTAAACTAATTTATGCACCTCAGCCACACTCCAGCTTTTCCATTTGAAAACCCCCCATCCCCCCATTGAGCCAGTGTTAGTGACATTGTTAGACATTATTCTGATTGAACTGAATTTCTGGGGCCTGTAGTTGGGCTGTTAACTACAGAATTTTCAGGGTTCATTATATTTAAAAGGCATATTTAGTTTTGCCAAAATATTTTGCCTAATTTGATGAGAACAAATGTTATTTTTCTGTTGTTTAAACTTTATCTGTTTTTCACTTCTATTTTGTTCATGCCCCCCCCCATTTTTAATTTATTGATTTTAGACTTTTTTTTTTTTGTATTGGAGATTGAACCCAGGGATACTTTACCACTGAGCTTCATTACCTGTCTTTTTTTTTATTTTGAGAAAGGGTTTGCTAATTTGCTGAGGCTGGCCTTGAAGTTGTGGTCTTCCTGCTTCAGCTTCCTGAGTTGCGGGGATTATAGGCCTGTGCCAATACATCTGGCTCTTTAAGCATGTTATAGTGGCCATTTCAGTACTTGTTGTACATATTTGGGTTTCATTTTTCCTTAGAAGATTGTGTTGTTAGGTAGAGTTTTGTTTTGCTTAAAATGATGAGGAATGGTGACTGAAGTGACCCTTAATCATGTATAAACTAGTTGGACAAAAATGGTTTTATTGATTTGTTTTCTATGCTAATGAAAGGGAGCTAGGCCAGGATAGTGCAGCATTTTGTACAATTTTGTTAAATTACCAATTTTTAGGCTTTTTGCCCAACAGTTGATGTGTACAGATAGTTTATTTGAGCTACTTTGAGTATAATATTGTGTGTATCATGAAAACGCAAACATGATAATTAGATTAAGAATTTTTGCATATTTTTTTCTTATTTTAAAGATGGGTAATTTGGTGATGACTGAATTCCAGTTTCTCAGGAACAAAATATTTTAGGTTGTGTCACCTTGATATTATTACATGGCGTAATTGGCATCTAGGAAATTTTATTTTAAACACAAAAGTTAAAATTAGGGTAGGCTTTCATATGTAAAACTAAGATGGTAGGTGGTCAGAGTCTTATAATTTAAGTTTTGGTGCAGCTTGGTAACTTGGTGCAGCAAATTATAGGTTAGACAGGTAACTGGTTAAGATGGTCTATTATATCTTAATCAATTTAAAGTTGGTTATAATCCAGTGTTAGAGATTGAACCCATGTCCTCATGATGCTATGCAAGTGCTCTACCACGGAGCTATATCCCCAGCGGCCCCCCCCCCCCCTTTTTTTTTAAACCTCAAGGTTTAGGGCAGTGGCTTTCAATCTTGGCTGCGCTTTGAGATTTTTTTGGAGAGCTTTACAGAACACTGATATCTAGATTCATCTCTTAGAAGTTTTGATTTCGTTAAACTTGGTTATTTTTGAGAAAGCTCCTGCTAAGTTGTTAGGGCCTTGCTGAGTTGCTGAAACTGACTTTGAATTTGGGGTCCTCCTGCCTTGGCCTCTCAAGCTGCTGACATTACAGGTGTGTGCCACCCTTCCTGGCCAATTCAGGTCTTTTTCAAGTAAAAATGTATTTTAAATTTTTAAATTGTGTGGGGAGCCATTCTCACACGTGACTGGGCAACTCCCGGTTTGGGTCTGAGGCGCTCTGGCTAAACTGTGTAGGAGCTTTCCCGACCCTCTCCTGGTGCCCTCTCCTGGTGCGAGAGCCTGTCCGTGTGGGGGTGTGACTTGACCACTGACCCTGACTTTGGAGTGCTGCCCCCCTCAACCTTCATTGGATGGAATTCTCCCCTGAATTTCTTGTTCCCCAATAAAAGGCTACTCCCTGGCGTTCTCTCTCTCTCGCTAGCCCTGAGTAATCCCTGCTGCCCTACCGGGTGGTTCGGTGGTTCGAGGTGTGAGTTAGAGGGCCGTCTCGGACCTGGTCATAGAAAAAGGTAACTGAGACTGTGTGTTTTATTTCGATCTCACTAGCTAACTTTTATGACAAGAACCTCTTTAATGAAACCAGTGCGCTGGTCGCATGGTGGAAAAATTGAATTAAGGATATTTAGCAGTGATATTTGCTAGTGAATTTTAAAGCATTTTATAACAATAGGTGGCTGGGTGGTGTAACAATTGAGTCTTTTGACTGAAAGGATGACAGTAGTGCTTAATGAGCTAAACTAAGCAATGAATCATTGAACATAACCACACTAAATGCATCTGTGCCATAGATATCCCCTGCTAAAATTAGTTGATGGAATAATTTTTTGTATATCGATGTTGAAATGAAGGGACTGACCAATTGTAAAGAAAAATGACACGATTTCTTTGTGATCATTTAAATTAGTTGTATATATTCATGATATTGTAATATGTTTCACTGTCTTTTTGGTAATTTGTAGAAGTGAAGTTTGTAGACCAGATAAGTGCTTTGTAAAACTATTAATATACTACTGTTGTTTCCAATTACATATCTGCGTGAGGTACATTTTCTTTATATACTTTAACCAAAATGCCATCACAGCAGATTGAATGCTGAAGCAGACAGGAGAATCCAGCTGTCTTCTCTTATGCTAGACACAAGAAATTTGAAAGATGTAAAACAATGTCACTCTTATTACTAGTTTTTTATTTGTTTTGGAAATGATTTTTCATAAAATTTATTTGTATTAACATGTAATAGGTTTATTATTTTTAAGTAGACTATAAAATCAATACCTAAAATTTTGTTTTAATTTGTAATATGATAAATAGCAGTGTAATTTACATAAACAATAACTAATTTGGATCCTTAATAATTATGAATGTAAACAAAGGGAACCTAGACCAGAGTTTGACAGATGCTGTTTTAAAGTAACTTCTTAGAAAAAAAAAAAAAAAGATAATACTTCTATGTTGTCAACTGAATTACTGATTAGGAATGTTAGTGATTCAAATTTTTTGTTTAGTTATTGTGTATTAGGAAACATGTAGCAGTCAAATTTAAGTAAAAAGGGGACATTTGCTTGGCCTGGAAATAGAGCTAATTTCAG